TTTTTTCTTTTTCTATTTTTCTTGCCTCTTCTGTCCCCCATCTTCTTAAACATTTGGAGTTTGGAGCCAAAAAAGTCAGAGAGCCAAATGAAATTCTACAGGCCAGACGCACTCCAAAAGAGCCAAATTTCTGGGATTTGGCTCCAATCTGATAACACTGACTGTGACTAGATCTAGATCTATGTCTATTCGGACACCAACACGATCCTGTGAAGCATCAGCCCCGGTAACCTCAGCCCTGATCCCTTTTGGGTCATTTCCGGTAAAACAAGGAAGGGGGTGAGAATAGCGAGACATAGGTTAACCACTGCCTATTAACAATCCTCATGCACATGGCAATAAAAAAAAGAGAAAGATCAGTAACAATGTTCACAAATACAATAAAAATGCAAAGACACAGATGGGAGGGACAGCGGCAGGAAGCACCACAGCTGAAGCTAGATGACAACAAAGTAAAACAGGGAATAAGAAATAATCTCAACTTACCCCAACATCACACTGCCGGCCTGTTCGGTGACTTAGTCCACACTTTCTACACTTTTTCATAAATTTGGGGGCAATGATCGTAGATTTTCCAAAATCAGCCACTTCCTCTAGGTACATGTCACCTATATCGTCACATACATAATATGGCCGACTGTACATAGCACCACATTTCTCACACTTTTCATTGAAGACATTGCCATGAAGTTCAGATATCCTTGAAGAAGGGACTCCTGAATGCGGATGACAAATAACAATGAGAAATAAGAATGTTTTCAAGAAACTGAATACACAAAGTGCAAGGGGAAGGATTCTTACAGTTATAATTCTTCGACATTGTCAAATAAAAGAAGTAAGCATGCAGACGTGCGGTATAAAGATCACAAGAATGGTCTTTCTTTAAGTTAAAGAAAGATGAAGTTAGCATAATGAAACTCTTTAAGAGAAAGACTGATAGAGTTGTTTATGCAAAGAAAAAAGGAAAAAAGACTGATAATTGAACATATTTCGGTAAACTTTTTGCCCATATACCTGCCTGTGAAAGCACATGTCAACATATTGCCGAAATCTATACATCATAAGGTCAGATTAAAAAAAAAAAACTCAACCTTTTCACTACTTTCAGACAAACGTGTTTACATTCAGTTATTTGTAGCAAAACAACCTATGGACGCAAGAGACGCACTCAAATTTGTCCATTACCTGACAAACAATGCAGACCATCACAATTTTGACTGATCAGGTACTTGATATGGTCATCGTCTACTAGCCTCCGAATGGCTTCGTGGGTAAACGTTGGTCTCAAGTGTTCATAATCTAGCTCCTCATTGCCATTGTCATCATCTTCCTCTCTTTCTTTCTCTATTTTGTCCTCACTCGCTGCTGTCCCTTGAGACTGGTTCTTACTCATTGATGAAGCATTTTTCTTTCCAACTGTCAAGTACAAAAATAGAATGTAAGATAAAAGGAAATTAGATTGTAATAAATAAATAAATAATAATAATAATAATAAATAGCATTTATACTGCACATTTCCATTTTCTAAAAAATGCTCAATGCGCATCACATCGAAAAAGACATCACATCTTAAAAATTAATTGACATGCATCATGTACGTAAAATACAGTATTATGCACATATCTATACATATTATATTGGCCGCCTAAAACTTCCGGACACTTAACTTTCAAATTTAAAAAAAATTAATGGTGGTTCAGAATCATTTAAAGGGTGCTCAGTTTTATTGAGGAGCCTGAAGTCACTGTAGTTTAATTTTCAGTTTTTCATTAGTTTCGTTTAGATCTAATCTAGGGAAAGTCCGTCTTCTAAGACGCCATGGTAAACAAGTGAGGCTTCTGTTCAATAGCCGTGCCCACTGGCTCCTCAATGACTTGACGATCGATTTTTTTGAGTCCGTTCATCAACGAGTACACAGCTAGTATATATATAATATCTATGTATATGAGTAAAAATTTCTATGAGAAAAGCAGTCTCACAGAGAGGTTGGTAATGCATTCACTAAAAATATACAATGCAATAAAAGTTCACGAACGGTCATGATAAAATTGAAACGTGAGTAACTAGAACTAGAAACATTCATTAAAACATTTGTTCTCAACAGATAGAAAAACATTTCCGCTCTCTCTCTCTCTCCCTCCCTCCCTCCTTCCCTCCCTCCCTCCCTCCCTCTCTCTCTCTCTCTCTCTCTCTCTCTCTCTCTCTCTCTCTCTCTCTCTCTCTCTCTCTTATTCATTCTCACACACTAATTTCTTCAGTCTCAAAGGCTGGTATACACATGCATATGAAAACAGTTCATCATCATGAGAGGTACGCATTTGTGAATAAAAAATGCTTCAGCTGTTTTTTTGAAAATGTAAATTGTTGGGGCGGATCTTATTTTATATGGGGGTTCGTTCCAAAAACAAAAAGGAAAGCTCGCCGTATGTTTTTGTAATTTTGTTTTGGAGTTTTAAGAATTAAGATTATCAGAGGCTGATCAAAAGGCTCTAGGAGGATGATATAATTCCAGGAATTTTTTAAGATAAAAAGGTGCAGTATCATTTATACATTTAAAACAGAAAACGGCAGTTTTGTATTTGATCCTTATTGGCAGCCAGTGTAGTTCTTTCAGAATTGGTGTTACATGCGCTGATTTCTTTTGTTTCATTATCAATTTTATTGCTTGATATACCAAACCTTTAAAGAGGATGTTTGTCTACTTTGGGTTCACTTTAATCCAGAACACTTCACTAACTGACACAAACACAAGAAAAACTGCTCACCACATGTATCTCGGACAGCAACTGAACTTTGGTCTTTATTACTCACCCCCCTAGTCACCACTGCGCATGTTCTCAAGTGACGGGAGGTAGCTCCCTTAAAACAGAGAAGGACAATAACCTTGTTACGTCTCTTACACAACAGAGGAGGTACAAATTTTCTCCCAGAGATGAATAAGGATAATAATATAACAATATTTCTTGCAAAATACTTTTTTATTTCTTACCATCTCATGGTATGCAAAGCTAATGGAGCTAATTCCTCAAACCAAAGCATCATGTTCTTTGTCAACTGAAAAATATCAAAATGTCAGTAGAAACTCATCCCACTCTTAATATGCTAATACAAAAGTCTCAACTCAGTAACTCAGAAGGGAGGGGGGGGTGTCGGGGATCAGTCATTACCTGATCTGGCTCTCTTCACTGGAGGTGGTCCCAGGTCTTCTTCCTCAACATCATCAATAGTGACAGTCTCTCGATCTTCCTCTGTCCATTTGCCTCCTTTGCCCCTAAAGTCTCCCAAACCCGCAGCTGTCGAGATCCCTGCACCTGGTATACCATCAAAACAATGAAAAACGAAAGTGCCTATTATAACAGTACATGCCCTAAAGACAATCTAAAATTAAAATAAAAATTGAAAGAGTGAAAATATCTGCGATAGCTTTCAACAGACAAACTGTCACAAACGCCACCCTTCAGTACTAGTACTAAAAACAAAAAAGTTTGGACCCCTATATATAAATAAAGAATACTTAAATCACATCACAGGCAAGAAAAAAAAATGCCTATTTCTTCCAGTCTAGGGGAAGATATAAAGTTTAGAAGATAAAACAAACAAAAAACTGGGCAGAAAAATGAAGGAACTATAGAAGTCGATGAAAATGCCTTTCTACTTCTATGTAAACTTGACCATGAACAAAATTATTATTATGACAGTCGAAAAATTTTTAACTTTAACAGTTCAATCACCATCAAATATTGTTTGGTATACTAACAGCCTGGCATTGTCAACAAATCTATTTTATAATACTACAGACTTACCCGTAAAGAACACACAATGCTTTGCTGATTTTATCATAAGTGCCACTCTTTTCGCTTGTTCTTTCACATCTTCTTCAGAATCAAATATTTCCTCGGTCTTGCTTGCTTCTTGTATCATCACCTTCATGATGTGACAGATAGCAACTCACAATTATGATGAATACATGTTTCTTTTAAAAATTGATATAATAAAAATTAAGCATCCCAAACAATTGGAACACAGAAAATGGTTAGGTTTAGGGACAGGGGTAGAGGTAAGATGTAAAACAGTTTAGGATACACGCTGCAATTTGAAAGATATTAATTTTTCCTGTCTGACATAAAAGTAAACAAGACCTGGCATTGTCTCTATATGGGGGAACAATTATAGTTATAGGAGACAAAGTAGCTCAACTTATTTATGTACAAAACTGCAGGCCTATCTGAATAATAAATATTTTATCTTATCTTAGCCTATCTTATCTAATCTTAAAGAAACTGCCATGACTGTTTCTGTTAAATATCGTATTACAGGAAAGTTGAAGTTGATGTTTATTAAATGATGCACAAAGTTTGGTAACAGTGGTTAATTAAAAGGGAGCAATCAACACCCAATTTCTTACCTAACCGAGTCCCATCACAGATAAATTTAAGTCCGCAAAAAATTTACCTTCCGACCAAAAGGTTCTCCTCCCCACCCCCCACCCCCTCCCCTGTTCTATATTTTAGAAAGAAAACTTTGATGCATAGCCTGCCTGTAGAAGAAAGAAAGATGAGATAAAAGTACAAGCCTTAATTTTTGCATCATGTCACAAATAGACCGCCAAGGCCAACACTAATGACAATTTGACTAAAAACACGATCACATCAAATCCAGCCAGATTAATTTATGGTGAAGTCAGTGCAAGCTACAACAAACTCATCTCTATCAAATTAATTGATTTCAAAGTCTATCAGGGCCTGCATTTTGTGCCCAAACAATAAATCAGACCCCCTTAGCCTTAATGCATAGTTAGTAGCCTTTTTTTGGGGGGGGGGGATTTTTTTTGGTAAGTGTTTTACAGCGCTCGCAACTGCATAAGGTCATATGAGTGCGCGGGACACATTAAACTTTTTCAGCAGGAAATTTTGAACTTTTCCCGGGGGGCGGCCAAAGCCTACTCTTATCGATTTTAGACCACCAAGGGATCTTTAACATGCACAACTTGCGCACGGGCCCTCAGACTCTGAGATTTTTCGCCTTTGTCCGAGAAAGCTAGATATAGATCTTTCCTACCAGAAGATCAGGGGTGTGGCTGAAAGACAGCAGTAAGAAAGAGCCAAGGAGTAGAAGTAGAAAGGCTGCAGAAAGAGTCAGGAGCCCAGAGGAGGAGGCAAAGGAAATGAAGGATGGGGGGGGGGAGAAAGGGGAGACGAAAGCATTGCTAGAGAGCAGAAAAGGAGGTGAAAGGAGACAATTTCAGAGAAGAAAATGTTTCGGTCACTACCCGGATTCGAACTCGGGACCTTTGAATGAGAGGCCAACACCTTAAACTCTAGGCCACGAGAGCCCCCGTCTTCTGATTGGCTCTTTTCATCAGATTATTATAGGCTTTAAAAATATTGTATAATATATATAAAATTCTTGACCAAGAAAAATAAACAATATTATGTTTGATTTTGGATGCTTTATAATTATTAAAATGTGTTTTGCAGCTTTTCACCTCCATGAAAAAAACCCTAGCCCAATAAAACGAATCTTGTAGAGAACAGATAAAACTAGAACTGCAGTGCAAAAGACTACAGTCGAACTTGTGTAAGACGGCTACGCCTTGTTGAGGAGAAAAGAGTCCGTAGTATAAGCATGCATGCAGACTCTTTGGTATAAGACAGGAGGCCGTCATACCCAGGACTGATCAAAAGGAAGAAAACAAACCATTTACTTCAGAGGTCCCAATTGGAGGAGGTCGCTTAACAGGATTTCTGTAGGGCTCATTAAAATGGGGTTTTTTTTGTTTGTTTCTGAATTTTTTGGGGGTTTTGTGGGACTTTTTTGTTGTTAGAAGTTTCATTTTTTTTTTTTTTATTATGGTGCCGAGAAAGGTCAAAACAAAACAAAATGATGTGTCAGATGAGGAAGGACAGGTGCCATAGTAAAACAACCAAACGGGTCACCACCACTCTGCAAACGAGAGTTTGTGTTGACTTCCATTTTTATGGACTGGGTTTACGGACTGAGTTGTGGGCTGGGCTTATTGGTCATGACAGATCACACGCTTCCCTTATCATTTATTGTTACCCCCATTGGTCAACTTGGGTAACGGTAAACATTGGGAGTGAACAAAAAAATAAGCAACGTTACCATTTCATCCATTGGAGGGACTGACAATAACGATAGGTGAATGAATTATGACGGCTTGTCCACAGTGTCAGGGGAAAATGCATAGATTTTACAAAGCCTGAACGTCTCAGCCTGGTAAATTTGGCTGTGGTTTGATAAAAAAGGGTAGCAGCAGCCATGTTGGACAGGTGCCCATTTTACACAGTTAAAATTATAAAGAAAACAAAGCAAGGAAAAATATGGAAAGTGGCTGTTCGTACAGGCAGCCTTATTAAACAGGTGGCCGTCATGGCAGGTTTGAGAGTTAGACACCTGAAGGTAATATGATATACGCATTTTTCTCCATTCTCCAAGCATTTTCCCAAATCCTGGAACTAAACAACAATTGCATACATGTACTTGACAAGAAGAAAGTGTTGGATTGGAATCCACTGAACAAGAGAACAGGGTCAAGGGAAAGGTCACTTGGAACCTGGAGAAAAGTCACAGAGAATGATGCGTACAGAACTGAGAAAAGTGGAAAGACATGGCATGGAATAAGGTCAAGATGCTAGTCCAAGATTGGGAAAAGTGAAAAGTGCTAATTGGTAGCCTAGATCTATATATATATCATATAATACCCTGGCCCAGAGTGAGAAAGGCGACATAAAGACGATAGTTGATAATACCACACAGTATAGCGGCTGTTTCTATAAAATGCCTCATGTGCTCAGTAAAGGGACTGTCAGACAAAAGGGAGGTGCCGAAACCTGCCACCTGTCCCCACTGCCCTGTGGGAGAGTCCTTATGGACAAAGGCTAGCAGAGTAAACCGTACAAAAATCCATCAGAAGGCAAGCGGAAACCACCGTTGTATTTTTTCCCAAGAACGTCATCGTTACATCGAACCAGTCCTTTATACGGGAGCAAAGTATGCACAATCAATAGACAGCTGGAAAGAACAATTGAGGTGACAGAGTTGTGATTCATAAGACGTATACTGCGTCCCATGGACAGCTAGAAAAGCAAATGAAGAAGTCTTGGTTGAAGCAAATTGCAGATGACAGCTATGACGAATACACGAAAGAGACAGGCAAATTTCATTGGGCACACAATGCGGAAAGAAGCATTTGAGAATATTGTAACAAGGCAAGTTTAATGGAAAGAGAGGCACAGGCAGACAGAGAAAACAGATACTGGGAAGTGCCTATTTGCGATTAGCTCCAGTGCTAAATAAAACGCAGCGTTGTGATTAGCGCCATTGCTAAATAAAACGCCATGTGTGTAATATAAGGCTTAATCTATGCTCTGTTGAGGAAGTTCTGATGGCCGAATGGACAGCGTGTCTGTGTTTGAAGTTATACCATTATTTTATGAGCGTGGGTACGAATCCCGGTCCTGGAAGTGTTTTTTGGGGGGGTTTTTTCCTTCTTCTCTTCTTCCCGACTGATCAAACAAATTTTCCCATAATAATTATAACTTGTTGCTTTGTAGTTTTTCATGTAGTGACAAAGCATGCACACTCTAGTCTTGTCCGCAAGAGGACTTTTACCTACAAAGTAGGTCTACCTTTCCTTTTACCAATTTAGGCCTGGTTAAAGTTTAATAGTGGCTTTCCTTGGTCTGTGAGTCTAATTATTTAAAAAAAATAATTTTAGGCTCAGGAGAAGAAAAAAAACCCTTAGGGCACCAGGATTCGATGCCATGCTTGGAAGCACTGACATTAGAGAATGTAGACAGCTTTTATACATTCTCTAGGCCTAACGTTAGAGAATGTAGACACCGCCCCCTCCTAATTTAAACACCAAAGCCTAGAAATCTAGATCAGGCGACGTCATGTGTGATGGCAAAATATAAAGTGCACGCAGAGATAGATCTAATAATTATTTTTAGGTAGAGTTCTATTGTATGACGACACTGCGGACAGGACATGTGTTTCTAAAGACTGAGTTGCACCGTCTTGTTATTGTTATAAATTAAAAGCGTCTTTTGACTTACTTGCTCAAACTCAAATGATTATGATTATGAGAGATGAACAAGACGACAAGTTTAAAACCAAAAAAATCTTGAGATCGGGAACCGTTCGGAGAAATAGAGTTCAACTTTATTTTCCCGAAAGTTCGGAGAAATAGTCAATTTATATCCAAGGGACGGTGAATTGTAAAATTTAATTACATTTGGCTGGGTTTGAGAGAGATTACCCTTTCACACTCTATAACATGGGCTCCCAAGTTGTCTCTAGTAGTTGGTGAAGCTCCACTCATGCCCAAGGCTTTGTCTTTCTTCACAGTCTTTTTTTTAACCCTCTTTTTCCTCTTCTGCTGAGAGGCTGCTTCAGTAAGTCTTTGCCAGCAGGCAGGGTGAAAAACAGCCTCTCCATTCTTTTTCCAGCGAACTGCTAACTTATCTTCTACTTTCCTGAGACCACCTCTTGGTAAGGCCGACTTTACTTCAACACGGGCTGACTTTGAGCTGAGAGGATGAGGGTGCGCGCAAGACTTGAGTCGACAACTGAATTCCATGTTTCTGTGTGCAGTCTGCGTAGGCCTACACTCGTCCAGATTTGACTTGTCGGTGAGCGGTCAGCCTTCGATTTCACTTTTATAGATCTACAATCTAGTTAATTGTACACTTTCCTTCACAAAAAATAGCGGTCCTCGGTCACTAGCTTTTTAACTCTGGAATAAATTTTCGCAAACTTCTCTTGAAATTTGTACAGCATTACACCAGTTAAATAAAACTAAAGTGTTTATTCAGCTGTACAAATGGCATGGAAACAGCTGACTGCGCCCTGTTTCGTTACGTTTCAGAACCTATGCCACTTCTGATTTTTTTACGCATAGAAATTAATTAAAAACATGTCAGCCTATTGCTTGATATTATGGAAAAAAAAAAAGGTATCGTCAAATTTCCGACTGTGTTGCATTATTTGGAGATCATAATTTGTCTTCAGATTTTTTTTTTACAATGTCCTCTTGAAGTAGATCTACTGGTGAGCAAGAAAAGTGACGGCAACAAAAGAGGATAAAAATAAAATACGATAAAATCTAATTTATAGTTTTTTCTGACGCTGACGAATGTTTAATTTGGTTTGGAGTTTCACCACACGCACATTGGATTTGTTTGTACCTAGGCCTATTCTCAGTCAGTATCACACGCACACACTCTAACGTACCCACGCACCCGCTCGTAAATAAATTGAATGTCTGGTTAATTCTTTCAATTTTGGCAGAACGGCATCATTAGGCCTTAGTATCAAATCAACATAATATATGTGACTGCTTGATATTGTGATAATTATGAATGGGAAGCGCGGGCAGGTAAAAAAAGACTTTCCTTTGACGAGGGTCTGTTAACCAATTAAAAACAAAATTTCTTACTGACAATATTTATTTGAAGCGTAGGCTGATTAACCTAATGTTTATTTATATAGGTCTTATTTATATATTGAACCTACATTTCACCTCTTTAAAAGAAGTTCATTGTTCCCAAACACCCTACCCCCCTCCCTTCCACCCTTTCCCCTTCCCCTAGAATTTATCCTCTAAATATTATCATACTTAAAATAACTTACACACTCCACATAAGAAGTAGAGCTAGCCGTAGAAGTGAGAGAGTGGACTTGTCCCGTTATAATTAGGGAAAACTGCCGGTCCAGAGAACTCTAAAGAAACATTTTATAGGCCCTATGATTTTAACAATACCCCCCTTTTTAATTTTTCCTTCTCTCTCTCTCATCTCTCTCTCTCTCTCTCTCTCTCTCTCTCTCTCTCTCTCTCTCTCTCTCTCTCTCTCTCTCTCTCTCTCTCGATCTTTCTCTCTCTCTCTCTCTCGATCTCTCTCTCTCTCTCTCTCTCTCTCTCTCTCTCTCTGATTTCTCTCTCTATATATAGCCTATATATATATATATATATATATATATATATATATATATATATATATATATATATATATATATATATATATGTAACAGGCCTATAATCTATCACTCTCCTCTGGCTCTCTCAGTGTGTGAAGCATAATAGGCAAGGGTCCCTGCTATTGATTGTACGTGCATATTAGATCTATTTATAATTACTAAACATGTTATATTATATATATATATATATATATAATATATATAGTGTATATACATATATAAATTAACATTATATATATATATATATATATATATATATATATATATATATATGCGTGTGTGTGTTTGTGTGTGTGTGTTTGTGTGTGTGTGTGTGTGTGTGTGTGTGTGTGTGTGAGGGTGGGTGTGCGTTTGATTTTTTTGTGTATGCACGAGTACCGGTACGTGCGTGTCTTTCGTATGAATGTGCGCATGTTTGTTGAGTTGGGGTTTTTTAAAGTCTAATTAATGCATCGTATTAATTGTAATAATATTTCATTTATGAAAGCAGTGTTTTAGCATAGATCTAATTAGAAATTTCAGTATCGGATTTATTTCAGGACATATTGCTTAACCAAAGATCGTAAAATATTTAGATCTAGTTGAACCAAAGATTGTCCCCATAGGCTAAATCTTTGGTTGAACTTGAACCAGAGATTTACATGTGTACGTTTAAAAAGGAGATAACTCTAGCCTAGGCTATGGGTTGGACTTGGACTGCTTGCTTTCAATTTCAAGCAGGCAAATTGGGGATGCAAAAAAATCTGGGATACACAATAATACAGTCACACAGTGGTCGCGGTCATGGTTTTTGGTCTGGGCGAACTTCATGGCGAAGTAAACAAGTCACAGTCACAAGTTCGTGTTCATGTGATTTGAGTAATCGCAAATGTTTTATGGCGCTGATTGTGTATGTTTGATCTGTTTTGAATTAGAATTTAGTAGCTCCTTTTATGTCATTGTGTTGGTTTCGAAGCCTTTTGAGAGTTTTTGTAGTGGTTTGTTGTTGATCACCCAACCTGAACCGTGAACGCAATGACAGAGAATCTGATGAATGGTTCAGTTCAGGGTGACAGCTTCTCTGCAGAGGTCCGATGGTTATACATACAACTTATCCTAAGCCACTTCGAACTTGTTTCTATAGACTGATGAACTGTTATATCACTAATTGTGAATGCTTCATATTCTCACCATTCCCTCCCAATTCCTCGCCTCATTTGAGTGAGCATGTCTTGTCAAACCTGTTTTGTCAGTGTGTAGTAGTATCTCGAAGTGTATACAGACCCGGTAACCGGGAACCAAGTCACGAAGTATACAGACCCGGTAGGGGAACTCTTTTGTGATTTCGGAAAGTTTCAGCGCCCAGACCCGGTCGTGTGTGTGTGTGTGTGTGTGAGAGAGAGAGAGAGGGGAGAGAAGTGTTAGCAAAATGTGATAGGCCACCTCTATTCTCACCCGGAGTGAGAATAGTGCAGGCGAGTCTTGTGACTATTCTCACCCGGTGCGCGTTCACCAAATTTTGCGTTCACCCTAAACCACAGAATTCTACACTGTGATAACAGAAAAATGGTAGAATTCTGTGCCGTGAACAAACGTTCCATTACAACTGTAGCCTACTAAAAGCGTACAATTTTGTCTGTGGGCAGTGGAGAGAGAGAGAGAAAGAGAGAGAGGAGTAGCGTGAGAATTTCCGGGCAAAACAAAATGGCGACCCGCGTAGTTCGGCTCGATTCGAAAAGTTAAATAGCCGTAGCATCTTTGTAGACAACCAAATTAATTTACTTTTGTGTTTTAACATCATTTTTTAACTTTGTTTTGGTCAATTTGATCGTCCACACCGATAGACAGTATTCAGAAAGAGACAGAGAGAGAGAGAAGAGGGGAGGAGTTGATCTTGCGAGAACTTCCGGGCGGGTGAGAATAGCCACTTTCAATGTGATAACATGCCCCGAGTTGGTAGGAGGGAAAGAGAGAAAGATAGAGTGGGAAATAGCTGGAGAGAAAGAAAGACGGAGACAAACAAAGAAAAAGAGAATGCGAGCGATACACACACACACACACACACAGAGAGAGAGAGAGAGAGAGGCAGAGAAATAGAGAGGGTGACTGCTCGATTGAAATTATGACATTGTTCTTTTCTTCAAATTGTGATTCCTCCAACTCCAAAACGGAGGAAAAACAATCGTTCATCGAAAAGACATCCGCAATCTTCATTTAGATCTAGATCTAATCTACATCTAGATCTAGATCTAGGCTAGCCTCGAAACTAGATCAATGATTTATAATGTCTGTCTATCTAGATCTAGACCTGGGCCATAGATCTAGAAGAACCTAGGTCTTCCCTGAGCCAACAGGCGCTGAAACTTTCCGAAATCACAAAAGAGTTCCCCTACCGGGTCTGTATACTTTGTGACTTTGTTCCCGGTTACCGGGTCTGTATACACTCCCGTAGTATCTAGATAATCTGGTAATTGTTTACAACTTTCTCCTGTTTAATTCCGGGGAGGACTTCCGTAACGAGCGACCACTCTGAACTCTATCATGAAATATTACACTCAAGAATGGCCATAAAAACCAGTACGAGGCCTAAAAGCCCATGTTAAAAGTAGATTTCTACCTTCAAATGATAAAATTGCCGTGGTTTACCTTCTATTCTAATTCTTAACCCTAGAAGCGCTCAGTGTTTCACCGGAAGTAACCTGCCAAAAATGCCCCACCACTATGGCCGATCAGTTGTGAACATGGGGGTTTGGCGGGGGCGAATCAGCTGAGATCCCGAAATGTATACCTGCTGCTGAAAAATGACCATTTACGGCTCAACAGATGATAAAAAGCATATATATATATAAAAGCATATATTTTCTTTAAGCTGATAGAATGAGCCATTCAAAAATGATTAGCGATCAAATAAGTACAAGGCCGTCATGAGTCCAAATAACATTTTTTCATATTCGGACACGGTCTGGAAAAAAGGAAGTGTCTTCGTTCTATAGATCTAACGTTCAGTGCTTCCAATTTTCCGCCATTTTTTTAGCTTCCCCCACACTTTATCTTCCGATCCGATGCCCGCCGCCTCAGTGATACGCCCCCCCGACACCCCCTATGTTTCCCACTTTCTTTGTGGTAGAAAAAGGTAAAAATTGAAGATTAGCAGATCACCTGGAACCTGCATATTATGGGCTGTGTAAAAAAAAGATCGATTCGTTCAAATACACAAGCCTGTGTCATCTCGATTGTTTTACCAAGAAAAAGTTGTGTTGCTGTGTAGAGCCGAGCATACGGCAACTTTTGATTCCATAGACCAGCGCACAATTCATTACGTAGATCTACGTCAAGACTAGCTTATTATTGTAATGATCAGTTGCGGGGGGGGGAGACTGACGCGTATGCGATGTTCAACGCCCGGACCGATAGTGCCCCCCCTCCCCGACACGCACACACAGCCACACGTGTGCAGGCCGCCCATCCAACCCCGACACACGCTAACGAGCCATCTTTAATTGCTTCTGATGACCTCTTGACAAATAAACATTTATTAGAAGCGCTATAACTTTTCAGGCCGGCCTCAAATTCATCATAAGATAAAAACTCAGCTCCTGCTCAATTTAACGCAATTTTGCCCGAAGTGATCCCGGTCTCTACCCAGCCTGAGGCAAGCGCAAGTAAGGCAGGACAGGAAGCAGGAGTCACGAGTCACAGGAAGTCGGCAGTGATGTCATGCTGGACAAGAATCAGAGTCCGAATAACATTTTTTCATATTCGGACTCGAGTCCGAACAGTCACTTCGTAAAAATACAAACAAAGCTCAGAACGCAATAGACTCAATAATTAGTACATCAGCACGGTGAACCAAATAATAACACATGAGTCGGTCAGCGGGACCGCGTCACTTTATCGATCGATATCTCGGCCAAGAAACGCTCTACAAGGTCAAGATAACTTGCAAAGTCGT